TGCATCGCATCCAGGAAATCCGATCGAAGATAAATCAACGTTCGTTATACGCGCAAAGCATCGAACCCTCTTTCGTGGTATCATTTGGAGAAGCAGGAAAGACGGTAATGAGAGTCGAATTTATGGTAGAACCAAAAGTCGTCGAGAAAGTTGTTATTTCTGCAGAAACTGCAGATGGCCGTCCCGTACCCGGCGATGTAGAGACTCCGGATGAAGAAGTGCGTAATATTCTTTTCTTTTCTATACAGTCGTTTGTTATCTGCTCTGATAATGATTATTTAAATTATTTTTGCTACTATAGGGAAAGGTTAATTACGTAGTAGAAAACTGGCCACCGGCCATAAGAACTGTAACGGTGAACCTTACAACGACTGGTGGGTTGGCGCCAGAGGTGAAGATTGACGAGCTGCAGGTATGGACCTGCGGAGAGGTTCGAAAAATTACGACAGCTCCATTTACCGCCGTTCCCACTGGCTCGACCGGGCCAGTCGTGGAAACGACGACGCCGCCAGTGCCAGAATCAACGACAGCCGGCACTCAAGCAACGCAACCAGGACAAACGACAACGGGTCCCATTGAAACGACAACCCCAAGTCAGTCAGTTGGACCTATTAAAGAGCTGGAAAAAAGTTTTTTTTTTTATTAAAATGTTCACATTTTTACGGTAGTAGTTGAAATTAAAAATATTTTTAATAGTTTCATTTCACCATTTCCTTCTTTATCTATTTTTTTCTTAGCCACAACGATCCCGATTTTGTGCCAACTTACTGATATGATGGCAGATCAAGCAGTTACTTATAATACGAACATTGATTTATTGGACGGATCGTCAAAAAACACGTTTGTGTTTCCTAGCGACAAAGGAATTCCCCAAATAGAATTTATTGCAGAAAAGTCAAAATTTGTACAAAAAATTGTTTTTAGTTCCAAAAATATAAAGTCTGTTAATATTGTATACAAAACGCCAAATGGTGACACTGTCGAAAAGATTGAATCTGTTCTTCAGGGTGATGGAAATCTGAACGTTAACAGCGGTTATTCAAATGTTGGAACCATCACTTTAGATTTAACGGCTAAAAATTCTAATGAAAACCTCAAGATTGAAAATTTAGAAATTTTCACCTGTCTCGAAGGAACGACTATTCCTGCTTCTACTACTCAACACCCTGTAACGACTCAAAAGCCCAAATCGTCAACAAGTTAGTTCTAGCACATTAATTTTTTGAGCTATCATTTTTTTAGCAAATCAAATATTTGCATCATTTCAGCAGTGAGCCAATGCTCGGTGAATAATCTTATGGACGAACGAGCGGTTCAAACTTCAACAACGCCAACTGCTGCATATGATGAATCAGAGCATGAATATGTCTTCCCAATCGAAAGTGATGTTAACGTCATTAAAATAACTGCTTCCAATCCAAAAACAGTTATGCGAATAAACTTTCACTCAGAGAATATAATTGACATAATTATAATATTTTACGACGCAAACAATGGCGAAATCTGGACAGACGTTAAATCACCAAATTCTGATGGCTACTTCGATTACATAACTAATTTTCCAAATGTAAAAACTATTGAATTAACGGCAAGTACTCGTACGAACCAGCAAGTTAAAATTGAAGATTTGCAGATAATGACATGCGCCGAAGCAGTTACTACACTAGCTATTCCAACAACAACTAGTAATATTTTTATGTCATTAGTAATATTTTCATTTAAAATATTTTTACAATTAAGTGAAAAAATGATATGGTGCTTTTTAAATCATTTAGACTTTTTTTGTTACTTAATTAAATTTAGGAGTTGTAGCAACATCTCCTACAACATCTTATACACCCGGACTTGTTATTGAACAATCCACATTGCAAGGTTTTTATAGATAACAAAAATAAAATATTTTTCATAATTATATTTTGTTTAGATTTTGTTTTTGGTATTTATTATTAATCAATTAACGCAACCAGGACAAACGACAACGGGTCGTTTAGTGAAAAAATGATATGGTGCTTTTTAAATCATTTAGATTTTTTTTGTTACTTAATTAAATTCAGGAGTTGTAGCAACATCTCCTACAACATCTTATACACCCGGACTTGTTATTGAACAATCCACATTGCAAGGTTCAACTTCTGTGAAAGTTAGCAGTAAAACTACTCTAATTCCAAGATTGACAACTCTACCAATAATTTGTTAGAAATTTTTTTAAACCTTTTGCATAAAACAGCTTAATATAATATATCTCAGCTGAATTTGTATTTTTGATAAAAACATTTTTCTAGCCGTGGCAACAAAAACGACAATTTGCAAAGTGACAAATGCACTTGAATCTACAAGCACAACCTACATTTCTGATCCTTCACTGGCATCAAATGACTTAAGAAAAATAATCTTCGATGGTGTGGCAGTTGCTGCCATTGAATTTAATTTGTCTACTCTGCAACAGTTGATGAATGTTGAGATTGGAACGTTGACGAACGTTGCTTCGATTAAAATATTAGTGTACTTGCCAGGAACAAACGAACCAGCTAATCAATTTTATTCTCAAGTTGCTACATCGGTAACCGATTTTTATATGTGTTGCGTTTATTACTTTATTATTTTAGTTTTTTTTAAATAATTAATTAATTAACTATTTATACTCGCAGAGTATTGATGTTTCAACTCCGTCAAGCGGTAACAGAGTGAAAATTGAATTTTCATCAATCGATTCAACTAAACAGATAACAGTTGATGATCTTTCAATTTGGTCTTGTGGCATCTTAGTCACAAGTCAGTGGCATTTTGGTTGATACTCATTTAGTTTTTTTACGAATGATAACAAATTAAACGATGTTTTTTTGATTATTCAATTTATAAGCCGTCGGTGAAACAACCACGTCGAAAGTAACAACAGGCTCAGTAGCTAGCACACCAAGTTAGTCGAGTTTTACATGCTCTGCATCATACACACACGTTATAATGTATGTTATTATATGCTATTATAACGTTCACCATTGAGGTTAAGCCGTTATATTTTATTGAGTTAAACTGCTAGCTCGCTTGCATTAAATAGATTTCTCTTCCGAAAGTAACTAACACCAATGTTGCAAATTGAAAAGAAATTACAAATTTAATGAAATATAACAACGGAATCACTACCTTTCTTTTTATATTCATCTTTTATTTTACAGTCAAATTGATATCACACGGAATATTTTTCTATTTCAATCTTTTCCAGCTAGCTTACTAATTGCGGTTTGCATGTGCTTTTATTATGTACCTCTATATGAAACGTAAGGCATACCGGTTTGTGCATACAATAAACCAACATGCTATGCTGAACCATCGCTAAAATTCTCCGAATTGTTGGCATTAATCAATTTAAAGTTGGTCTTTTCAATATTTTATTAAAATTTTCTGGAAATTATTCAATTTAAGGAAACATGTTCATGGATTAATGATGCACCTTCCAGGATCTGCTTCAAGATGCACCGCAGAGGTTCTTGCTATAGACCTGGCTTTAAACTTTATTATTAAATTAGAGAAAAATAAGTTTATAATACCCTGAAACAATACAAACCTCTAAATTCATTAATAATTCTAATGCAAAATAAGATTCATAATATCCTGGATAGCAACAAAAAATTAATTATAATGTGGATCCCCAGCCACATTGGAATTGAAAGAAATGAAAGGGTAGATCAGATGGCTTCTCAAGTTCATTCGATGCCGTTATCTTGAGTTCCAATTCCGTCCAGTGATTTAAAAAATTTAACAAACAACCTTATTTTTGAAAAATTGCAGCAGGAGTGGAATAAAACATCAAATTTCTTAAAATTAAGTATGCCATCATTAAATAACAAAAAGCTCAAAAATAGTTATTTAAATCGTCATCTTCAGTCTGTTATCATTAGATTAAAAATAGGACACTCAACAAGCACACATTCCTGAATCCTCAACAAAACAAAACCATCTTATTGTGAAGCCTGCGACATAAACTATCTATTCAGCATATATTAACTGAATGTGAAAGATACGATCAGATCAGAAGGAAACTCGGGGTTCCATCAAATGTAGAACTGCTCTTCCAGAATAGAAGTCAGGAAGTCTTGATCTCATTTGTGGAGGAGATAGATTTGATAAACAGAATTTGAAGTTTTTTAGTTTTTTACATTATTATTTTTCAGAAAAAATAATCAGTTTCTAATGATCCCATGGCGTTAAAATAGCCGTATCGTGCTGAAACGCCGTTAAGCTGCAAAAAAATATTCAACTTAATAAAAATAGAATTAATATCGAAATTCATTTATTTCACTAAAATTTTCTGAAAATTATTCTTCAACACTTGTGGATGTATTATGTTTATGCATGGTGAATACCCTAATTTAGTAAGAATTGAAACGACAAACTTTAAATTGATTAATGCCAACAATTTGATAGAATTCATACAATATTGTATGCACCTGTATGTGTTATGGTTTACCCGATAAATCTGCTGGAATGCTAGTCTATTCAGAATCGTGCTGCAAGAATTGTTTATGGAGCTTATTAATTCTATCATGTATCTCCGATTCTTGCTCAGCTTCATTGGTTGACTGTCGACAAACAAATAATTTTTAAAGTTTGTACAATAATGTTCAAGTGTATGCATAATTCGGCACCAGAGTATTTGATGGACAAATGTCGGTTGAAAGCTGAACAAATGTTGGCCTAGTATATACCTATACCATCTTCGGTGTTCAAATGGATACGTTGTGTATGTGGCCAAATGCTCAAGTATATATATTCTATGCCTCTACAATGCTAATTCTTTGTTTGTTTAAAGTGAATACGTAACGATCATTTAATTAGTTTTACAATCCCCAGCTTTGTTCAACATGACACTTTTACATGTTATCATTATCGATGATTGGCAAGTTCATGCATTTGTTCATTTTTGTTTGAACTACTGTAATAGTTTATTTTGAAGTATTTCTAATAAATGCTTGTCAATGTCTGTACAAAATGAAGCTGTTAAACTAGTTGTTGGTGTATTGAAGTATGATCACGTCGCCCCAATATTCAACAAATTGCATTGGCTGAAAATTGAAAAACTCTTAATTTATATGATTTGTACAATAATTTTTAAATGAACAAATGGATTTTCCTCATGTTATCTGATTGAGAACAGCAGTTCTAGGTCAATTTAAGGTTTAAAGGTCAATTACACTCTTCCAAAGTTCAAAGGGAATCAACAGCATCGTATATGAATACATGCTAAACGACGCATCACACTTGAAGCATGTGATAAGCGAAGATCTTTTTGTCATATTCGAACCCGGTTATTACGAAACAGCACCAGGTGACCTTAACCACTAGGCCATCACGCCGCCCAGAATTCCTGAAAGGCAATGCCTGAGATTGAACGCGAGTGGCGAAATACGAGTTTGTAAATAAAGCTTTCTCAATTTGATTTTTAAGAATTCTGTCAAGTGAAGACTTTGCCGGAAATCAGTGCCTTCATATCGAATGGAGCCGTTGGATACATTGAAAAGGATGGTGAACATGGAGCCACGAGTGATCAAGAATACGTATTCATCGGTGATAGCATCGATAAAAACTCTCAAGTCATAGTCAACAGATGTTATCAATGGTAATGGTTTGCTATTAATTTTGTCCAAAATAGTAAAAAAAACTATTCTGAATGAAATTTTTTTGAAATATTAAATGTTTTAAATTTCGATTTACAGTACATGCGATGACAACAACGAGTTTACCTGCACAGTAATTTGTTCAGATTTGTACTTTTATAAACATTTATTAATCGTGTTACAATCATTCATGTTTTTTATTATTGATTTTAAACATTATGCTGTCTTGTGGTTAAGTAAATACAATTTATACATATTTCATTACTCAAATATCAGTTGAAAAACAGCACCTCAAATGAAGAGACGTGTTTGGTCTCATACTGTGATGCTTCGGGCAATGAAGTTGTGTACAACAGGAGCAGCGCCTGTCAATGCGGACCTGTTAGTGGGATGTTTGAAGTTTTAAACAGTTCACATTGTAACATATTCATGCATAAAAACCTAGCACAAGTCTAGTAGATAAACTGAAATTTGAGACATTATGTTTTCCAGCTGATATTTGTTATTAATACTATTGATCAACAGCACACTCGGTCAGGACGTAAACTACAGAAGTAGTACGTTCCTTGACTATATGTGCGTTGTGAGAGCAGGCAATCCGGGGGAAGCAATTCCATCAGTGTCTATCCTTGCTAACTCATTTATATTCCGTTTTATAAATCATTTTATCAGATGTCCAAAATAAGTCTAAAAACCTTTTTTCAGTAACAAAGGCAAAAATAACTAACATCATATTAAAATTTTTGTTCTATTAATTTTTTTGTTTCCGCTATTTTGTGTATGCTCATATGTGCATTGTTTTATTTTTTTGAAGAAGATGAAATTATAACAAAATTGACAGCATGTAAACATCCTCCACGTTGTTTTCGACAGGGTGAAGTTACGTTTGGTCAATATCCAGATTGTTGTTCTTGCGCGGGAGTCGGTGAGTCATTTAAATGATAAGTGCATTAACAGCAGTTTAGCTTAAATTGATTGAAACTGATCAAAAAACTTTTATTTTGTATTGAACATGTTGCATTTGTTATTGTCTAGATAAACTTATAACTATTATTTTTTTATAAAACCAAGCTTCTACTTTTTAATATTTAAAAATTTTGTATAGCTTTTCATTTTATGTTTCAATAACTTAAACATTCGTACAATCATTGACGAAGGAACCACCGCAGAGACACGAGGAACAACTTTGCCAACTCCGATTGAGACATGTTCTGTAGAGCAGAAGTACGTCAACCTGAGCATTCCACTGAAAGATGGAAGCGTGTGCACATCGAACGAAGCCATCTCGCTGTCATCCTGCAGAGGAAGTTGTGGCGACAGTTTTGACGAGAGCGCCATCTACTTCGAAGAAAGCTCTGAGGGAGATGATCCGATCGTCCACCACGGATTGTGCAAATGTTGCAGAGGACTCACTGGGGAATGGAAATTATTTGATGTAAATAATGCTTTCAAACTTTTTTCTTTAAAAAATCTATTAATCTTTTTACGGTTGAAGAACATTTGAGTTCAAATAAATTTTATTTTATTTTCACGAAGGTAAATTGTGCATCAGAAAGTAAACGTGTTAAGATTTACCAGTACACATCTTGTGGCTGCCAGGAATGCGTAGCAGGTTATTAACTCAACTTTCTTTCTAATTAAGAACTTTTATTTAAGTTTGAATTAATTTTTAAGATTTGTTTTTTCCTTTCTTAAAGACAATGAATAATTCAAACATGGAGCCTCTAAGTTAACAACCCATTTTTTAACAGGCACCTACACTTCGGGCTTGCCGTTTTAAAACTCTTGAATTTTGAACACTGCATAATTTTGTGAATTAACTAAATTGTTTAAAATTAAAACTTTAACATATTTAATTGTAATTTTATTCGGTAATAAAATGATTATTTGAAAATTTTAATCTGCTTATTTTTTCACAAATCGTTATAAAAGTGTTATCGCCAGATTTTTATTTATGAAATTTCTATTTCAAAATGAATCTTATGCTCATCAATATCGATTTCAAGCTTTAAAATTTGCATCTGTTATGATGATGCGTTAGGTCTTTCTCCGCAACTTCTCCAGGTCAAATTCCATAATTTTAAAAATTCTACAAAATGCCTGCGTTTTGTATGTTACAAATATGACACTAACAAAAATGTGTGTGTATGAGATTAATTTTTTTTTAATTACATCAAACTATGCTATCCAAGTGCATGTGTTACTAACATTTGATGTTTTTGTGCAATTAATTAAGGTAAAATTATTAATTACAGAAATATCAAAAACTCATAAGCATTTGCAAAATGTTTGGTGCTCGCTTGCGACAACACACCATGACATCATGCCAGCCACTCTCTGCACACACCAACGCAAAATAAATACTCACTTAAAACATAGAAAAAATAAAAGCTTCTGTTTAATAAGCTCAAAATAAAAATTATTTTATTATTGTATTTATTACGAATAGCCTTTACCAAGTAAATTTATGTAAAATAAATTTAATATACGAATATATACGTATTTTAATGTACCGACCAAGCAATTATCACGTGTTGGCAACATTCTTCAAGAACGTCGTAAAACTTCTCCACGACTTTCCTATAATATTTCATGTCATTTGCTGACCAAAATCATTATTGTAAAATTTTCAAGGACCTAGAAAAATATGTCTTCGATTCCAGGAATCATAGCATAACTCTGATTATTTTAAATAAATCTTAATAAAATAAAACCTGGATTTAGCGTTCAACTGTTTGACAAATAAAACTTCAGTGTGTACTTCAATAAAGATTTTAATAATTTTTTTTTATACGTTACGCATAGTTGTCAGCAAAAAGACTTTAACAAAATATCATTTTCCGTCCGTTAAAATGCAGTCGGGTTATATGGTCGGCTTGCCTCCATTGATGTCAAAATGTCAAAAGATCGATTTAAATGTCAACTAAAATTTTTAATTACATAATTATTCTCGTTATTTCGTTTTAAAAGTTGCATAAGTTTTGGCAAATAAAAATGGCCAATAATACAGACGCAATCAAAATGTTAAACGTTTTTTTCTATCTCAATATTTGATGCAACTGAATGTTTCGATATTGAATGATAACTACTACATATGACTCCTCTGATAATATTTTATTATTCAGGCTAAATTTTTATCTATGCTTTTGGAAATATTCTTTTTGTATTGGTCTATATGATTAGTTTTCAATCGTAAATGAAAACTAAATAAATAAGTTTATTCATGCTTATGTGCATTTGCACATCTGTGACTATTATGATGTGCATGTAGGAACATGTACCTGTACCCGTTTTCTTATATATGGTGGGTCGATTTGAATCCACAAGTAAGTAAGTATCTATATGAAGTGTGAGAATTTCGGACCTGCTTCTGCAGGCACAGTTGGCCAGTTCTCGGGCTACTGATGAGTCCCATAAGAGACGGAACGCGTCAAGTCTAGAACGAGTAAGGTGTGCAAAATAATGCACCTTGGTCGTGTTCAGAGATGATCTACTTGATGCACCCGTACTGGCCAACCGTACCTACAGAAGCAGTTCTGAAAATCTCACCCTTGAAATTTTTATCAAATCCGGCCGGATTAATTACGTTACTCTACGTTCCGGCCGGCAGTGGCGGATTTACGCACAGGCAAAATAGGCACTTTGAGGCATTGTAAGGGACGGCAAATTCTGTTAACCATTGATTGAAAAATATTCATGATAAATAAAAAGTATTATTGAAATTTTTACTTCACACAAAAATAATGGTTTTCAATTTTAATTAATTTAAACTCATAAAAAATCAAATAAAAAATGTCACTCGTTTTGATAAACCGATAAGCCGATCATTCAATTAGATGGACCTTTTTTTTAAAATTCGCCTTCTTGTCGAGTCAACGCCAAATTTGTAGTTTCAAAAAAAATGGTAAAAATGAACGATGGTTGAAAAAGATTAAGTGGAATCAATATGCAAAATTGTCTAAAGACAAAGAATTTAAAAACAAAACGGATTTGGATAGCAGGAAGAAAATCGATGAGTTTTTTCGAGTTATGGGTTTTCATTTTAGAATATCTGAACAAATCTAACGCTTAACTTCAAGAATTAGACATTGATCTATTGTCTATAAATGAAACATACAATTCATTTTTAAAGTTGTTCAAATCTCTCAGAAACAGATCTAAGAAAAAATCCTTAAAAAATCTTTAGAAAAAATTTAAAAAAAGTCCGATCGTTAGTTGATGACTAGAAGGTACAGCCATTAAGAAAACAAAAACGGCATTATGACGAATCAACAGACAATGAGATAGCGTTCAGTATTCGGGAAAACTTTCGTGTAAACACATTTTTAGTAATTGTAGATAATTTAATTTTTGAAATGAACAAGAGGCGAAACGCATATGTAGAAATTAATGAAATTTTCCAAGCGATTGTACAGTTCAAAACCTTGCTAATGTTGTCCCCTAATGAAAACCTAGGGAGTTAGAGGTTGCAGCGGATGTATTTCCTTAATTTCTTTAAATTTTAAACATCCAAAGTCGGATATTTTTCATCCAACTCCGACTCTGAATTTATTTTTATTCAAAAAATATTTTTCTAAGGTTATGCTCACTATAAGAAAAATATGTGTAGAGATATGCAATCATCTTTAATAATGATTATAAAGGCTAATAATGTAAATTACATCTCATAATTTTCTTTCCGTATGTTTTGAAACAAAAATATAAAGTAATTTTGCTAAGCAAAACTGCTATATTGACTGATTTTAATTGTTTACAGTTTATTAAAGCATTTTTCATTTAGCAGAGGTACTTAAGTAAAATTATGATGCACAAGTTGAAAAAATTTTTTCAATTTTTTCTGGGATCTAGAACCCAGAGTCGAAAGTCGGTGTCGGGAGTCAAAAAATTTTACCTGAAATCGGAGTCGAAATTTTCTGAGAGGCCGGCGTCGGAGTCGGATATTTTTCAACCGATTCCGACATTCTGAATAAGACATTGGCTTTGTATTAAACAACAAATTATATTTACAATTTTTCTGTTAGCCATTAAATGTTAATGATCTTTGTCATGATTATTTAGAGCCTGATTGTAGATCTGTTCGTTCACTAAGGTCTTAGATCTTCCACTGATGGATTGTTTTTAAAATCGAGAACGTCTTTTAGAAATAAAGACTTCTTTGATTCTGCATATTTTGAACTAAACTTTTACAATATATGTAAGCTTCGTACTTTAAAGTCTCTAACTGCTTTTCATCGTCTTAAATCTTATTTATATCTCGCGCATTTTCAGTGAGCTTTAGAGTCTAGTCTCATTCTTTTCATTCCATGAACTATTGAATTATTCTTCATTATCAAACTCATCAAATTTTACAATTTTTACATTTTTATAGTTTATTAATAAGTATTTATTTTTTTTAAATGTTATTCATTTTAATTATTTTTTAATTGGTTTATAATATTTCATGCATGCATTTTCTTATGTACGTATAGCCGAACGGACTTGACAAAATAGGACATTAAAAATCTTCAAGTGGTCCTGTCGCAGACTCAGTCTTGGATCACTATGAAAATCGTTCTGTTATGCTATAGTAAAGTTGCATCTCTTAGAATATATATCTTAGAATATATCTACATATTTGATCCAATGCGTTGCAACGCGTCGTGCACTTTTAAAAATTATAAAGTTAAAAGCATATCACTATTTTATTCTAACGTGGCTTTAACTTTTAGCCGAACAAGTGTTTATTCTGTATCCAACCAACTAACCAAATTATTGATTAAATTAAAATTATAAAAGTTACAAATTCATGTTTTAATTGTTATAAATATTTTAAATTATTTTTAGTAATAATAGGAAATCAATAAAATTTTAAATTAAAAATATAAAATTAATATTTGAAATAAATTTATTTTAAAATAATAATTAATTAAAATTTAAAATTAATTAATTAATATATTTATTAATAATTAATTAATTTATGTTGAGTTAATTTTTAATGTTTATTTAATTTTTAGTACCTACTTGCTACAATATTTTTGTTACTTTCAGATGAGGCTTTCTTCATCATCCCACTCAACATGGGTCATGGTGGTACTGCAGTTTAGTAGTGCCATGCTGTTGGCATTAGCAGCTGACAAAAATGATTTCTACGACATGCTGGAAGTTAACAGGCAGGCCAGCACTGTCGAAATTAGGAAGGCTTTTAAAAAACTCGCCCTCACAATGCACCCTGATAAAAATAGAGTACCTTTTTTTGCTTTTTTTGTTTTTCTTATTTATTTAACTAATTAAGTAGAAAGTCAAGTGTAATGAATATCAATGTACTAATCAATGTACATTGTACAATGTAATGAATATCAATGTACTAATGGTATGTTTAAAATGTTTCAAAGTATAATGCCATATAATACATACATACTTGAAACATAGTTGTGTCATAATCTTATAGTTATACATACTATACAACACAATATACACCAAAAACTTGAATTTTCTAAAATAGTTTTTGTAATGTTAAATTTTTCTAACTGAAAACTGCATGACTTGTCATGAAAATGAAGAATTGTGTTGTGTTGGTGAAAAACACTGCAAAGCTCCTTTCAAGTTTTTGTCATAAATCTATAAAAAATTATTCCTTACTCTAACTCTTAAAATGATAAGATTAGGCTAAGGGTCTAGCTAGGTTCTACAATATTAAAAATGTGTTTGTTTAGATTTCAATGAAATTTGCTTGAAAATTTACTTTTAAACAATAAACATAATAAAGTACTTGGAGCTTTAAAACGTTATAGGCTACCAAAACCAATCATTTGATTGACTGATTAACTAACTGACTGATTGATTGACTGACTGATTGATCAGTTGATGATTGATTAATTTGCAGGATGATCCAGATGCCCATGAAAAGTTCATCAGACTGAACAGAGCATACGAAGTTTTAAAAGTAGATCTACATTATTGTTAGCTTTGTTTATATCAAATAATTATGGTTTCAATTCTAGGACGATGATTTGAGAAAAAAGTACGACTTGCATGGAGAAGAGGGGCTGAAAGAAGGGGGTCCATCAGGGGGGGGCTATCAAAGTTGGAGCTTCTACAACCAGCAATTTGGTTATCTGCACTTTGATGATCAATTATTTTCCTTTACTTTCAATTATACTTTTGATCAAATGAAATATCCTGCTCAAGGTTACGACTCGCCATCATCATCATAGTTGAGTTCAGCCTTAAGGAAAATTAACATCCAAATGAGTGCTTGGTTCAGTTGAGTGCTGCATCTGGTACATACCAGATACACTAATAATGAACCGACATCAGTTTTGAGGTTTTCACTGTCAGAGAGGCACCAGCAATCACTGCCAGACAAGTTCTGCTCAGTTTGTTGATAATTTTAACAAAACTATTATCGACAGTCCATGAATAAAAAAATAAATAAAAACTGAAAAACGTTTAGTAACTGAACCATATCCTAATTTCCTATGCACCTCACTGACATGATGTTCACAAATGTTGTTCATGATGTTCACAAATGTTGTTCGGGATGTTCTCAAATGTTGTTCGGGATGTTCTCAAATGTTGTTCATGATGTTCACAAATGTTGTTCACGATATTCTCAAATGTTGTTCAGCGTGTTCATGCTGCTTGCAAATTTTCATAATATCCACAGACAAATGTTTTCGTAATGTTTGATGATTTTTTGCTGATTGCAGGAATTTATGATGACGACCCAGAAATCATAACACTCAGCAGATCAGATTATGGTTAGTGAGATGATGTAAACGAGGATTGTTTGTTTAATAATGTATCATATTTAATAATGTTAATAATGTATCATATTTAGATGGCATGTAAAAAAATCGAAATAGACCTATCTGCAAGATGAATTTGGATATTAATTCTCTTTTTAATAAATTGAACTATTTCCAGAAAATTCTAGTAACAAAAATTGAAAAGACAAATTTTAAATTGGTTAATGACAACAATTCGGTAGAATTCACACAATATCTATTATTGTACGGTTATATATATATATATATATATATATATATATATATATAGCTTTAATGTAAAGCTTTTTTTGGTATATACCATCTTCGGTGTTCAATCTATATATATGTATAATGTATATATATATATATATTTATATTTATGATTATTGATGAAAATTACAGCATGTTCGGCATTAGTTAACTTCCAATTTAACTTTTCGATTTTTCTCAAGATTCATAAAATAATACAACGCAAAAAACAAAAAAGTAGCATATATAAATATTACTAGACAAATCTTGGACCACAATGTTGAAATATTACATTACAATGACAACCGACTAGCCGAATCAATACTCCTAGAACAAAGACATCTGATTATAAATATTCAACAATGTATATATATATATATATGTGTGTGTGTGTGTATATATGTTGGTAATAGACCATAATTTTTAAAATATTCTATAAATTACTATAAAAACGAACTACAAACATATTAACGCCAAACATTTGGTAGAATTTATAGAATATTGTAAAAATATATATATATAAAAACGTTAAAATCTTTGTCAAAGGAACGACAACATCAAAGATGAAGAATACGATACCAGCTAAAAAACTTTGCCGAAGAACTTTGCTGCGTTGTTTAAAGAAACTATTAATTTAACAATTTCTAGACAATACTGTATACTATATATATATATATATATATATATAATATATATATACATATATATAATATTTGTTAATATATACATATCATATCATGCATTTATATGTAGTTACTGTAGTGTATCATTTTGTTGGCAGACGTTTTGGTTGAGGGCACAAATGACATGTGGTTCATCAACTTTTACTCGCCGCACTGTTCGCACTGCCACGACCTAGCACCCACCGTAAGTGCATCTAATCCTGTCTTATCATCATTGCCTGATATCATCATCCTGTCATCCTGTTATCATGTCATACTTATCATCGTATGTGGGAAGTGGTGATACTATCATCATATCGTGGTAATATTATTATGCGGTATCATCTCGACATGTCACCCTATTATCATGTTGTACATATCATCATATCATGCATATAATATCACGTTATCTTGTCATAATGTAAGCTGTATCGCCACGCCATTGTATCCATCATATACGACATCATCATATACACCACATGTTCAACTTACATCATCCTGCTTCATCTCACCGCGTCATCATGTAATGAGTCGTCATCGTTTTTTGTCCTACATCATCCAGCTCTGTGAAGTGCACACCATTCCTTTTTTATAATCAATCTTTCCACACTCGCCCCACACGCGCAAGGATGGCTGAGTTTGAGTTAGTTGTGGACTGGTAGTATTCGAACCAGGTCAGCGCGCAATGACAACGACGCTAGACATGGCACTTCTACCGTCTGAGCTAACCAGCCAGGCAATCATTATACCATCATATCAGCATTGAACGAAGCAAGCAGTTAAAGGGCATTAATAACTTAAATAAAAATTTAAAAATTAGAACGAATAATTTATATTATGCAAAACTTATTATTTTCTTGTTATAATTTTTATTTTTTTATTATGATTTTGGCAATTTAAAAGTTTAAAAAAGTAGCAAAAGTTTATTATCATCATTATTTTTTTATTATTTACATTGTTTTTTAAACTACCATGACCACCCCGTGAACGTTGAAAGTGGCGGGAGGTGGCACGCGAGCTGGTGGGAGTGGTGCGGATGGGGGCGGTGAACTGTGAGGATGATGGACAGCTGTGCAGACAGAAGGGCATCAGGTCCTATCCCACACTGCTACTCTATCCGGAGGTCTGTGGTGGTGATGGTGAGGAGGGTGAGGATGATGATGGTGGTAATAGTGGTTGCGGTGTTGAAAGAATTTTGTGAGGGTGGACTATGAAGATCTACGATCTATTGTTTGCTGGGTATGGTAGTTGTTGATGCAAATTATGATGATGATTGTAATTTAAAAATCGATGATGATCAGGCGACCAATTTTCAATTTTGAACATGCCGACAGAGAGAAAAATACTACTCTACAAAAACGAGACATGACCTCGTGAACTTCGTGCTGGACCACGTGAGGTCAAAGGTCATCGAACTCTGGCAGGGCAACTTCCACCAATCGACCGACCCACAGTACAACCACTTGCCATGGCTGATTAGTTTCTGCGGGAAAGATAGTGGAGGTGGTGGTTGTGTTGTGGGGATGTTGATGATGATGATGATGGTGATAATAATGATGCTGCTGCTGATGATGATGATAAGTAGGATGTTAAGTATGATGGGGATGATAAGAGTGATGATGATGATGTTTGTTGATGCTGATGATGATGATGTTGATAACTATGTTGATAACGG